TTAAAACTGATACGAAAACTAAGAAAGGATAAACCAACAGGGTGGTGCCCAGAGAAGAAAAGGCACGAATAACCGGCATGTGTGACTACAATTCTATCCACCTCACCAACGGCCAAAAGGCGTGCTGAGAAGGAGAGGGGAAGGGTATGAAAAATGCAAGTAAAAATTTACACCATTCCCTTATTAACCCAGAACCTCTTATAAATACTAGAATCGTCTCCCCCTTTTATTTCTAAGATACAATTTGATTTGTTACTTTTGGCGAAAGAATGAATCGTCCTTGGAAAGGGCGCTAGTTCTCTAATTAGGCCCTCTTATGATTGCAGTCATCCTGAGTGTTATAACAAAACACTAAGCGAGAATCGCTAATCATCATAGGTTTGGAAGGAAAGAGATGCAAATACTTAATTAACTCCAAAAAGAGTTACAAAATTAGAACATGGAGATTTAGTATGTACTGTCGTTCACTGTTGCATGCTTTTTTTTGCTATAAATTGTTAGATTTTTAAGTCTGTTTTCTCTCGAGAAATAACAAGAACCTTTCTTTCTATGGGAGCTATGGACGAAACAGGGTGTGTCTCGGGTGCACCCCCTTCTCGCCAAAGCTTATCTTCTTCTGCTTTCGCATTTGCCCTCATATGACCGTAAAAAAGAAAATTTAATTAATTAATTAATTAAGTTCAGACTCACACGATCCGGAGGAAGTCTTAAATTACGAGGTTATCTTCAAACTTTATTTATCAACGAAGCTGAAGGACGCGATGAAGATTTGTATCATCTTGTTTTGTGTAATATTTGGAGCATATGTAGGCACTGTTCATTTTAGTCAAAGATCGTGTTAGCTTCTTTGTCAACACGAGTATCACTGTGCTGCTTTTTGAATGGACGACAGTTAAAACATTTATGTTATATGTAGACTTAAGCTAATGTAAAGTGGCTAAGGCCTAATACCTGGACACTATCTGAAGTCCAATCTCACGTTCAAATGGTTTGTAAACTGTTTTTGTGTAAATTAAAAAACTAGATCACGACAAAGATCACAACCGGAAGGTGAACACGGCAATGTCAGTCTTATCACCGCCAATATAATTATCAGACAGTACTAACAATATCAGAGACAAAAAAAGAGCTCAGTTTAACAAAAAGGGTTATGACTGAAAGAGAATTACGGTAATTGCTACCATAGACCTCGATCGACGGTCAGACCATTCAACTGTGACTGTCACACCGAGTGATTCGTTTACTCGGTTGGGGCATGAGGCCAAGCGCGCTTCAGTTGTCTCACATTGACCACAAAGTAACTAACGCATTTAAATGTCTTTTTCTTCTAATTTTTTTAAGTAAACTAAACTTGGCTTATGTACCCTGTTGCACGCAGGTCTTTGTACGGTTACGATCAGGCAGTCAACAAGTCCTTTAAAAGTAGTTATATTCCAGATGGCGTCCGAACTGTGAAGGAATTCGAAGACGGAATCAACGCGTTGTTTGTGCCTGCAGGTGAAAAAAAAAAATCGACTTTGGAGACCTTAACGGTACCTGTATTAGCAATCCAACTCTGTGTAACGAATTAACTGTGTCTTTCCTCTTCAAAACTACCAGTGGCCATCACAAAGATTTAAATGATTTAAAGATTTTTGACTCTGGAGTGAAAGATGGCAGAAGTGATGAGTATGATTGGTCCCTTGAAGTTGGATCATCAGTCCAAGTGATGGTGTCTTACGGTAAAAGCCACATAAATATGGGAAGTCTACTGGCAAAGGCTGCCTGGATAGTTTGGCCTTTACTTTTCAAATAGATTCAATGTTTGGAACAGTTAGGCTCTATCAGAAAGGTTCAATGGCCAACGTCCTCATATCCTCCAATGTCTACCCACAGGACAGGAACACGCGATTAACACTTGGCTCAGTGCAAAACACCAAAGGCCTTTATGCAAGCAATTTCAAAGTTCTTGAAACCAAGCTGAGTGACGAGGAAATTCAAAAGAATGGAAACTTGAGTTTCCGAAAAGGTGAAAGGTGCTTCAAGCATTAAAGAAAATAGAATACATTTTAACATCAACACGCCGTTGAGAAAAAAAAAAGACAAACAAAACAATTTAAACTTGGTCGGAGAACAAAGGTTCGGCCTTTGGCATATTCCTTGTAAACAGGGCATGCAACAATTTTAAGCAATACAGAGCCATTCTTTGTTTTCTTCAAATGTGACTAAGTAGTAATCCGCACTTAACTAAAGTCATGACACTGCGAAGAATATTTTCTATCCAGTGGAGAAAATTACCGAAAATCTCGTATATGGTAAGAATTTGGATTTTAGTTACCTGAACATTTTCTATGAAATTAAATTGATCGAAAGTGTTCAAAATTGGTCTGTTGTTAGATAAGCTAAGTTTGCAATGGTAAAGTCTGACGTTGGTGTCAAACCTTGAGTCATGCAAGGTAGTTCTAATTGTCGCAAGAGTCATGCAATAATAACCCAAACCAATTCAGATTCGTTGGTTTCTTTATGAAACTAAACTTCTGATTGGTATTACCCATTAGCTAGACGGTTCTATTGTCTGCATGACGACAAACTACAAAGGGAAAATTGTCTGAAAAAATATGGTAAGGCACATAAAAGCTCACTCATTTTCATAATTATTTGCTTTTTTTTTTGAGTTTCACGACGACCAGTTTAACAGCCATTCTGTCAGAGCACTTCAAGGCTGCAAGCGATCAACAAATTACTTTCGTTCCTGGAGAGGTTAACAAACACCTAACATTTGAAATTATCAACAACAGCAACAAAGGGAGCAAAACTTTTCAGGTTATTTTCTCGAACCCGCAAAGATCTGTTTTGATTGCTCTGAGGTCCCAAGCTCGTCTATGCAACAATCAGTGTATTCCCAAGGTTGGAAAAAGTAGCTGTTTGTTGATTATTCATTTTCTTGCTCTGGAAACTTACTCTCTATTGAGTGCATAAAAGACAGTTTTCCGGCTAAAAGAAAACACTGTAATTATCATTAACTCTGTGGGAATTAGATACAAAAGCAGAGTTCGCAATAAATAAACAAGGAGCTTAACCTTAGAAGTTTTACGAATATGGTCGAATCTCTGATATTTATAATTATATTTTGAATAAATTGGTCTTCGTTTGATATGTCAGTTAACGTTCAGTCTCGAGGAGTCAGCAGAAATGATATGCATCACAATTGCTTGTACTGCATTTAGACTGAGCTTTTGATGTTCTGGTAAGGGCACCACTTTAAATTCATTTTCCGTCGCCCTTCTTTGTCAGCTGGCGTACATTCCCTCCTTTTAGTCCTTCCTCTACCGGTCGGAGTCAAAAGAATTAAAACAATTCATTTACATTCTTACTCTACAACTTGATCGCGAATGATCCCCTAAAACGCGTTTACCTTACCTACAGATAAGCTGCCACTTTACCTTGTTTTTGTGTTCCTAAACTGGTTTTGTGCATTATGCCTGATGTGGTAAGAGAAGAGGAGAATAGCATGAGTAGTAAGTGGCAAAAGACTGTCTACTGCGTTATATCACGTTTTGTTAGACTGTTTGCGGCTGTAAAGTGTAAGTTTCATCCAAGGTCAAGAGCACTTTCAGTATTGACCCGGACTCAGTTCGAAGGCCGATTAGCGCTAACCCAGGGTTAAGATTTAATCTGGGTTTCTTTATTACTTTCTTCAAAAGCTTTTTTCAGATAGTTTTCTCTGTTCTTTTTAGAGTATCCAAGCATCAAATTGTAGATGAAAAGAATTACACTGAATATTCTTTTAAAGCTTTCATACCTGAGATCGGATTTCACACTAACCCTTGCTGATCTTAATTTAGCTTTGATTGAACCCAGCCCAGGATGCTATTCACGTATCTTATTTTTAAAGCTCAGATCGAGTCATGGGCAGACTGTGAGCAACTGAAATCAACTGCAGTACGCGAAGAAAAAGCTCCAGTTCCTTACAAGCTGCTTCAAAAAATATGGAGGCGTTACAAGAGAGGTAACCTACCACGGAGTGACAGGAAAACTCGTCAGGACTACGTTAGACGCAACTGTACCAGTCCCTCCTTACGAACAGCTTTAAAGTTCGAGCTCTCACTTTGGAAGAAAAAAGACTCCCTATCGTGTACACTATCCAAGTTTATAGAGGTGCTGCTCTGATTGAGAGGCTATTGGCTGCAGTATACATGCCTCATAACATATATTGCATTCACATCGATGTTAATTCTACCTGAGAAACGATTCGCCGCGCGATAATAAAATTGACAAAGTTCTTTCCAACACGTTAATATATAGCCACTTACATAACCGCTGTGGCTTTGGTATAAGTTTTTTATTTATTCCATATTTTACCGTCAAGTGGAAAGACAGCCAACTCTTGACGAAAGAGGTTATTTAAGCGTAACTGATATATAGTGTGAAAGGGTTTTTCATCCTGCAGAGCAAAGCTCAGTTCGTCAGTTTTTCCCAGTGTCAATTTGAACTATTTCTCTGTGAAATAACTTTTCTTTCATCTTGCCACATAACAACCAATACTTAAAGGACTTGTTATCTATTTATGATTTTGCAGTCACGAACACGTAAGGCAGCACGCCGTCTTGATAGTATTTATACTGGGTACATAGTATGAAAAAAAATAAGGTTGCGCGCAAGTGATACCCTCTGGTCTTACACGCTGAGTATTGCTCACACAGAAAGAATAAAGTTTTTGCTATAAGCCGCCGCGTTGCAGCGTCTGCAAAGAAAACCAGATTGTGACAGGTAATGATTGTATATTACTCTGCAATTGGTTATCACTTGGTTTTAATAATATTCAGGAACATTTTACGACCTGTTAGGATCAATAGTTCATGTATATCTGCCAAAATATACGACAATCAGTATAAAATGATGGTTGATCCCTGTCTTTAAAAGTCAGTTGAAACTAATTTCTCGATAATAGACATCCATTATGCAAGATTTATTGTAGCCTGTTGGTATTTAAGGTCTTTCAGTACAACTAAAGCAGCGCATTGTCGGTTGTGGCCAACTTCTGTGAATTTCCGTGCTCCGTAAAGATGTTCGCGGTTAAGATTGATGAGTAGAGTTATTTTCATGACCAGATATTGGTTCTTGGAGATAGAATCACCATAAAATTGGTCCTCTGACTAGTAAACTGTTCCTAAACGACGTTTGGCCGGCATACATCAATTCAACTGGTACGTTTACCCATTAGATTCGCAATTACTCTCAGATAAGACAGAAGTAATCTAAGTCAACAATTTCTGTTCAGTGTGCCTTAAGTCTTGTAGGTTTTACAAGACATGGTTCATTTGCTTCACAAGGATTGAACACTTGACACTTGCACCACTGATAAATAGTCGGTTCATTTTAGACATAAGTTGGGTCCAAATGCCGTTTAGCCTTGCGCTGATAAGGTCCATTTCCTGTCACGAAAACTCTCCACTGCCCAGATCTGCTTCGGAGAGGAAAATAAAGGAGCTCTGCATTATAAAGAAATGCAATGGAAATATTTTCCCCATACTTCGAAAATAAAAAATATCTTTGTCGCCGGATTTTTAATGAGTGTCAAGTTCGCAAGCTGACCACAATGCGTTTGTCTCCGGCACTACTCCTAAATCATTTAGCTCTCGGCTGGGGTATTTCTGTAGGGAGACACACGAGCTTGAAGCCGATTACTCTTGCGAAGCATTTTTCGCATGGCTTTCTTAAAGTCGGCTTTGAAAAACAGATAGATGAGAGGGTCAAATATCGGCGTAAGAAGAGCAATACATAAAGTTATAACGTCAGGATTGGTATGATCCAGAACTTTGTGATGGACTAGCTCATATACTTCACCTCCAATCCTGGGAAGCCAGAATAACAAAAATATTGTAACAATGTAAACAAAGAAAAACGTTGTCCTTTTCTCCTGTCTGCTAGACTGAACGCTTGGTCGCCGAACAATTGTGGAGTTCATGGATTGTACAGCCTGTATTGCCTGCAGTTGTCTTTTGGCAACTCGAAACATGGCTATATTCACCGCCGCGAGAACAATAAATATTGTCAGAAATAAAAGCGTTTGTGTCCAGTGATAAATAAGGTAGCCAACGGAGAAACGATGTATTTTCATTCTTGTTCTGAATAACGTGTCAATGGTAATAGGAATGATTGGAAAAATCCAGGCAGTAATGATCACTCCAACCACAAAACTGGATCCCATGCGTCGATGATAGAAGAGTGGTTTCATTATCGATAAATAACGTTCATAAGTAACCAGGTACAAATTGAGAATAGAGGAACAAAGGAAATAGTAAAACACTTCTGTGCACAATGTAAGTGAAGATCTAGTTTTTCTCCTGGATGATACATAGCAAGGCACAGCGAACAGCCCAATGAGGAGGTGCGAAGCAGATAAGGAAGCAATAAAATAGTTAGACTTGTTTCGCAAGTGACGACGCTTTAAGAAAAGGAACCATATTATACTGTTGAAAGCGACGATTAGACAAGCCTCCACAATAAGCACTGATTTAATAGCCAGGGGTAGCGGAGGATACATCTTCTCTCGGAACTGTCTCTATCTCAAAATAACTCGACACAGACAGTCGGTCGAACAGCTACGGGGACACGATATCCAGATCAAATGTGTCCGACAATAACGTTATCTTTTACTTTTCTCTGAGTATTACAGAAGGTCTGGGTGAGATTTTGAATCTTGCATAAACTGACAGAAGTTGTTTGATTTCCTCTTTACTTCCTCTATTTCGATGGTTTATGTTTGTCTTTTGATGTATAGAGGCTCTTTAGTTTTCGCTGGTAAATAGCTGAACGCACAATCTCCCAGGTTCTGCAATAAGCAAAGAGAGTTAAAACATTTTCAGATTCACTGTGTCGTATCTTAAAAAGAATTCAACATTTTGACCATGTATACGAAGCTGCAAAGATAGCTGCAACTCTTTATTTGCAAAAAAAGTCAAAAACGTTTTTTTTCTGTTATGTAAGCTATTGAGAGCGATTTTAAATCTTTTTTCATTCAAACGTCTTACCCTCACGAAACACCTTCCAGTTTTTTTCGGGAAATTAATTGATGCGGTGAAGAGAAACTGCTGGCGGCTATAGACAGAACACCAAATGAGTGCGTTCAACTCTAGTTAGTCATAAAAAGGCCTCTGTGACGTCGCAAACTTCCAATTTATGTTGTGATTAAACAATATCCAAGACTAGTTATATTTTTGGATAAATATTAGGTAGCTTTCATATTTGCTTTTATATTAGAAGGTTCAGTAATTCATGCTAAACATCATTATTTTGGGAGTTAAATCGGGTGTTTCCTTCAGATGGGTCAACACAAGGATAATTCCTCAGCTCAACACTTAGATATAATCACCCGTGCATTGTCACTTTCTGGAATGGTTCCCTTTGGCAAGGTCAGCCAATTGGACTGCTGCTGCCGCTGATTTTCTCTCTTCTTTATTAAGGTTAACATTGCCATGAAATCTCCTTATCTTGGAGCGTATCGTGAAGGTTTCCTTCCAAAAGGAGAAAATTTTGTTCCAACGCGCAATCAGAAAAATTTTCAATAATAGAACTGAGATATAGGGTACCAACATACTATCATGTGTTGCTTATTCTCTTGTTTGGCATCTCTTAGTTTTTGTTAGTTTTTCGTTGTCCCTAGGACAATCATTGATGAACCCGTCTAAAGCGTGCATCCAACTGGCCTCACAATCTTCCTTCTGTGTCCAATAGATCACGTGCATTCTATACCTTCTTCGAATTCAGATGAGCTAAAGGAAGTCCTCCATCAACTAACGCTCCAAAGTATTTCAAATATTCATTTAGTTTAAGTAAATCAGAATTACATTTTCAGGAACCATCGTACATACTAGGATTAGGAATTTGAAGATGGAAGGAGAAGTGACAATCTTAGCGATCCTAAAAGTTCCAGATAATCAATATTGTGTCAAAAAAACCTTCCATAAAAGACAAAAACGGTATCCCTTGAACCCTTATAAAATCTTACTCAAAGAATACTTGCCTATGTTAATCATCGGTAGTACTAACCTTGAAATTACCCTTGGAGGCAATAGTTCAATCAGCTCTATTCCAGCTCCAATGTTTCGTTTGCGTCTGCTGCTCTAATCTTGTTTCATTTTCGAATGATATATTTAGCAACAGAAGCTCTTAACAGGGCACAGCCGATACTCTCAGAAATGGGAATGCCAACATCACTCTTAATCTATTTATGGCTGTTTGTAACACAGATCAAGACATCGTGTCCACTCCATCTTTTTAATTATTCTGTCATTTACCATCAGCAGCTCCATAGTGACCCTTCCCAAATTTGACGACAAAAGAAAAGTGAAACATCCTATATGTCACCCGTATTCTGACTGGAATCAACCGTATTATTATCATACCAGGAATACATTTGTAGCTGAATACGAGCGATGGCCTACACCAAAACATCCGGTCAGTAAATTTGCGTGGTTGAAGCCCATACACAAATATAAAAAAGACAAGAGTAAGTTTTTATCATGAAGCATGCGAGTGCAAGTGCTATTTTGCACGCCAACAACATTTAATTTAATGATGTGCGAAATCAAATAGAGGTCAACTTACCGACTACAACAAACTCGAGATTTCTGGGTTAAGGACCTTAGACGAGCTGTTTATTAGTTTAAATGGGTTATGCCCCTGTGCATAAACAGCAGTATCGACTAAGCTGACTTCAAAAACTAGGAAGCAATATCATTTTTGAATACAAAGATCTCATATTGAGTGTTTATAACGGCAAGATGAAAAGCATGAGTGCTTCTTTAACAGACAACTGATCACCTTCACCAGATATAAACATTAACATTTTTAACAGGTGCAAAACCAATATTTAAACTACTTGTAAATTTAATATTTGCAGTTATTTTTAGCAACGTTTTTCTCCGTATTTGGAGTTAAAGCGACACTGACCTACAATGTTTACTTTAATCAATAATTTGATCATTCTTCGAATACAAAGAGGCCAAGAACTCTTGACTTTTTTCTCCTCGTGGCCTCTTCTTTGGGGGGGGGGGGGGGGGGGGGGGGGGGGGGGGGGATTCCGAGCTAGTTCGAAGAAAAGTAATGGTTTTAGACTAAATATTTTCATATAGCCTAACAACCTCTATCTACAAAAGTTATGAAATCTAGCGAAGAGGCTGAGGCTTCTGACCCAATTGAACTTTGCAAACAACGCCCCCCTACATTCTTCTTTTAACAGCGCGTAACTGAAGTGGGTGAAAGTTGAAATCACTGGACTTTGACACACGTGCCTTTTGCCGGATGCAGAGGCAAATCCAAAAAGGAACTAGGTATGCGGTAAATTGTATTTTGTAATTATTTATGGTTCATGAGTGTCTCTGTTTTTGTGGAGATCCAGCTCTTGCCTTAGCAGCTGAGAAATAAAGCCTCGGGTTTTAAAGGCTGTGATACAGAATTATGATAAAGTTTGAAGTAGCTTACATGACGATGATGATCAGTCTGAATTATTTAGCTTAATCCTCAAGAGTGTTATATCGGAAATTAATTCTCCCACACTCTTTGGAGTGGTATGTTTACAAAATTGTTTGTGTCGCCTTAGAACTTTAAATCTATTTAAAAAAGAAAAAAAAATCAGTTTAAATAGCATACCAATCAATCAATCACAGCGCCCTGCTAGTTCACGCTATTGAAGTGACGATATGTGAACCCGTGTTTTCATTGTTGGGCGGTAACCTTCGCTACTGCTTTCGTGATCGGGTCAAAGTCTCATATCGTCTACTTACAACCACCTCTTCATCCAAGATAGATGGTATATTCTTACCAGAAGTGCATAACTGTATCTTTAGCTTTGTTGAAAGTTATAGCTTTCCTTGGGTTCATTCATTAGGAGTGTTTTCTTGCGTCCTACCACAACACGAAAATCAAATTAAGAAAGTCATCAGGAACACCTTACAGTTTTGCGTGCTGCCAACATGTATGAACAGCGTTGGATATTGTTTATTTTAACAAAAGATGGCAATCCCCGCACAAAAAGGCCCGCAGATTTTAACTGTGGATTAAAACTTTCGCACGTAGTTTATAAACGATGACTAGGTACTTGCTGAGGAAAAGGAGATATTTATGTTGTGCAAGCAAATTTTTTTTCAGAGAGAGGCTGAACTTTTTGTCTCCTCGATTAAAGCAGCGTGCCAATTGGTGCAGGAGATCCAATTTTCGTTCAAATAACAATATTCAACGTTTGCTAAAACGAGCGGCAGTGTAGAGGTAGACAGTCAGCTTGAAAGTAAAAAACATTGCCGGATAGGAATGAACGCTTACCTGGATAAACTCAACACCTTTCTAACTGTTAGTTTGCCGAATGAACAAAAACATTAAATATCTACTCTCCTCTCTCCTAAGCATCAAACAGTTTCCATGAACAACATCTATGAAAAGAACCTGTAAATTAGTGGGTGTGTTAGATATTGCCATGAGAAGAACTGTTTCATGATGTTGTTTAGTGCAGACACACTCAGCAGATATATTCTGTGACATATTGAGATCGTCTGTCATGATATGCCGGTGAAAACAGAATTAATCAGCCACGTTTGGTTGGGATTCGGAGTCCAACTAACAGAAAGGGTTGACACAAATTGCATTTCCACGCTTATTGAGTCCTGATAAAACGTAGATACCATACTAATTTGCTAATTACTTTTTGTGTTCTCTACTTTTATCTTATCAGTCATGTGTTTTAAATTGATAGGTCTCTTTCGAGCTATGTTGCAAACTTAGACTAGAAAAGGCCACATATGTAAAGTAAGGATTCCATTGAGATTATCGCTGGAACAATCACGCATCTCTACAAACCGTTTATCGACCCTCTGAGTGAAGAAACTCAATGAAACCACTATTCATTGCCACAAAAATAATCAACTACATTTTTCTCTCACGCACTCTTCAACAATACATGCATGGCTATCGTTTATAAATGCTATATAAGTACTAAAGCTTCCTATTTTTAACATTGTTTAGGCAATTTTGGGGCCCGGGAAGAAAGAAGGGCTTATTTTCTACTATTGATATATCTTCCTTGTTGCACACATAATATGCCAAACTTCTGATGGATAAGATCAAATTTCTAACAAATAAACCATTTAGGATAAGCTCTTTGAGCTTCTCACACCTCTGTAACAGATACACAAAAGCACGTTCAATTTCGAAGTTGTTAGTTGAATGGAAATAGTTGACACAGACAACTTCCAAATCTAGGCAGTTTCTAGCCAGCGAACGAATAATTTTTTCAGTACCCAGAAGCTCATTGCCAGCAAAACTCAACATTCGAAGCCGAGGCATGCTGGGAAGAAAGCTCTCAAAGTAGACAAAAGCCAAAGGGATGGATGAAAGATCAAGACAGGTTAAAGTTGGACAATGGAACAGTAAATCACTGACGCATTTTACTGTCACTGGGTAGCGCCGATGAAGGAATAAAACTTCCAACAATGGATAACCATTCGCGATGAGTTTTAGGACTTCGTCGGTCAGCGCGCACTTGAGGTAGCGCAAGCGCTTTAATTTAGGGAGTATTTCTGACAGGCCTGAAAATGACAAGCGGTAACAACGAAGTACATTCAACTCGGTAATGTTTGTTTGACTCCAGTCCACCAGTCTGACATACTCATCTACTATCTGTGTTCCTTCTAAAATAAGCGTTTTCAAACGCGGACATTTTTCTACCAATATGTTAAGCGTTCTTCCTTGTAAATTGCGGCACTTTGCGACACAAACTGCCTCCAAAAATAGAGAGTTTTCTGCAATAGTTTGAATACTGTCGTCTGTGACCCAGTCACACTGTGTACAGTCAATCATGCGCAGGTTGTGCTTTGTAATAAACATTCTGATCAGCAGTCGAGGACTGATACAACAGTGAAGACCTGCATGAAGCAATGAAGCAAACATTACAAAGTCAGTACGTAAAACAAATCGATTTTCTCTTTAAGGCTCATTTGACATAATAAAATTACGGTATCTTAACAGGAATACTTGTTTGTTACTATGAGCTACGTTGCCGTTGTATTATGTTATTTCATCGATCTGCAATTGAAGCACCTTCTCTAAGAAGGAGAAAACACCCAGCAAACTTGATCACTTCCTCTAGGCAATGCAACCACAATCATTTTTCTTTGATTTTTCAATCATGTAGCGGAAACTCACTTGAAAATCTAACGATAGTTCTATTGCGCGGGGCCCTTCCTCGTGTTTTTGAATATTAGATAAGGTAAGAGAGATGGTAAATTTTGCACTCGGTAATGAAATCAAGAAGAAACCAAGAAGATGTCTTGTTCCCATGTCATGAAACAATTTGATGAACATAGTAAGGCTCTGGTTCGCTACAGATTATTCTGTAGCTCAGGGGTATAGCATCAGTCAGAGAGCGGAATCCCGGGGTCTAGTGTTTCACCTCCTCGTGTGGAACCAAATTTTTTCCTTTGTCCTAAGCTCGTGACAAGACGAATGGTATCTTCCTTTATTTGTTTTATGTTTTACTTCCTCTGAACAGAATTTCAAGTTTATTTTCGGGTTTTACGTGGCTAACATGAAAATTAGATTTCTACGCAAAAAAATCAGCTACGTGGGCTACAGTAAGGCCTTATAACAATCTGTTTGCTAGTGACTTCACCCACATATCCTTAGGTGCTTCGGGACAGCCGGCTTAACGTTCACTGTTAATCTGGCCGGTGAGAGTAACCGAATGCCTAAAACGTCTACAAGAGGTTCAAACATAACAAATGAAGATATACAGTCTGATCAAGTCAACTTTATAACCTTCTGTAATTTTCTCAAACCGAATGTATCCCTGACAAGTCATTTCCTCGACAAGATGGAAAACTACACATATATGCCTATGTCATGATCAGTATGTAATTCTCGGGGAGTTCTCTCAACCCTTTTCCTGTGACCATTTTTCTCTGTAATCTCTCCTCATTTAGTCTCAAGAGCACGAGTCCTATTTGATCAAAAACCTCTAATGACAGAGTGACTTACAAAACGCATAAAGGTGACGTGCTTACCTAGGTATTTGAGATTGTATGCTTGTATTAAGATATCTTCTACACCAGCAGCGAATCCGCTGGCGTTCCTCAAGTCTAAAAAGATTAGTGTCTCCACCTGATCAAACGTCAGCTCATACCAAGGTCCAGCGGAATGGAACCTGCAGTCGTTGAGACTGAGACTTTTTAATCTGCGGCAATTTTCAAACAAACTTTGCAACATCTCGGAAGTTACAAGGTTCTTGTTGAGAATGAGATGCTTTCCGCTCGGTGCAAATAAAGTATTAATCAACCTCAGTATTGTTTCCCCTTGCAATGATCTACAGAATGGTTCAAGATCAAGACACGACCAAAGCGAACTATCACGTGACAAGCGATACCACGCTCGACAAACGGGTGAAACTCTAAGCAGATCTCTCTGAGTGAGAAACGTAAAAACCTCCAGCCAAATGTCATCTGGTAGGATCTCCATTGGAAAGGTAGCTCGCCTCCACTCTCAAATTAAACTTCATGTGGAATTTTATCTTTATTGAGCGATCGTTTGTTGCGAAGAGAGGATCGGCTTGATATGTAACGATGTATTATGACGCATATAATTAGCGCGAGCATGAACTCGTTGAGTTATCCAGACCCTTGTGTTGCTATGGTGCAAACTGGCCAGATCTAGTGCAACGATTGGGCGGGTTAGTCATGGAATTCGGCTGCGAAATTCCTTTTAAAGACAAATGGAGCACTTTTTTTTTTCTTCTACGTCGATTTCCCATTGATGGAGTTCTTCCAGTAGTATTATCAAATTGTCGTTATGTCACAAGAAAGACAAAAAGTCACGAGGAATTTTTTCAATTCTTAACATATAAGCTAGATAAGCACTACAAGCGCAAAGAACGTTTCTTTCATCTGCGATTCTTGAGATTTTGGAATTTGTTTCTTACTTCAAGCATTTTGTTAATGGCTGCGCAGATGACTTATCTTATTTTGGAAGAATGTTATCTTAAGCTTAAGCTTAAGTCAATGGCCATATCAAACTCGTGAACAAAAGGCTTTTCACCTTATGCCGCCCCTGCTTCCTATTAGCAATCACTTCTTGGTTGTCTATGCTTAAAAACTCAGGGATACACTGCCAAAAAATTTAAGGAAATCCATTGGAACATAAATAGATAAATAAGAGAACAATAATACATAGGTAACCTAAGCTTATCCTTAACCTTGTTTGGAAAAAGACAAAAACTAAAACATTTTGATTGTTATTAATTACAGGCTTTTAATAACGACATTCCATGAATGAATTTATAGGTAAATATAGAAAGTATTTACATCGCAAGTCCCAGTTAGTTTCTAAAAATTTCCAGTCAGGTGGGTTTTGTCATGATCGTGACGCATTGGAAAGGGAAACAGTGATGTTAATTAAACTTGGTTAATTTTGTTTATCTTCTTGTTTGTTGTTTGTTTGTTCGAAAATGTTAACATTCAAGTTTGTTTACCTAAGTCTACCGGTTCGCAGAATCTTGGTCAGATATCTTAATAATGACTGTGTCACACAATAACTTGTCTTATAGCCCGGGTGGCTGAGTATTTCTGCTCTTGGAACGCTTAGGATAAGCGGCAGACCTGCGTTAGCGAGTGATGTCTCTAAGGATTATTCTATTCTCTGTAAGGCTTGTACGCCTGCAGGCGATAGCACCATCCATAAACAAACCAACTGGCCACTCGAGCTACTTGTCTTGCGCTTAGATTTCGAGATGTTATATCATTCAATACCCCGCGTAGTGTCTCCTGCAATTAGTAATTTATTCAGGATTGCCTCAATCGCTCTAGAGGAGGCATTTTACGACTGGAACCAGGACAACATGACGTCGTATCAGAGTTAGTGTGATCGTTATTCATCATAGTCCAAAATAGCGCTGTCCTCACTCTGAGCGCTTCGAGCACTTGTCAAATTCTGAAACAGAACACAAATGATGTTTAAGAGATGTTCCCTTGCTAAGACAATGCCACATTTCTCTCGGGTCTCTCCATGATGTCTCTCTTGTTAATCTTTAGTCCAAACCATTCATTTACCTGTTGCCACCACGTACACCTCAACATAAAACCATCAATATTAAGTTTTCTCGTACAATTTACAACCCTGTCCCACACTTTGAGGGTCACTTTGGATCACTTTGGATGAGGGTCACTGTGCCGTTCTATACAAATGGAAATAAACCACAGGAGCCGAGGAAATGAGCGGTGGAATTCCTCCTTCTTGTTCCTCGCTTGTAATCTCTTATGCTTAAAATCTTAATTTCCCTCAGAGATAGCTGTAACACGCACTTCTCGCCAATGTGACATGGTAAGAACAATTTTACAAAAGATTGAACAGAGATGAACCGTGGGGCACAACTGAGCCGGCAGTACTTACCCGAGTTGACTCCAGCAGTTGCAACTTGACAGCGGTCTCGTTCAATTCTCGGTCAGCGGACATCAATTCCTGTAATAAATCAGTAGTAAATATAATGATACAGTGTAGCAGAAAAATAATGACGCAAGGACAAGAGAGGCTCTTCAACATTCGCAAAGGAAAAGGCGTATTAATCTTTTTCTCTCTGGGAACAGAAGTCCTTATTAGACGCTTTAATAATCATTCTCGCAGAGGGTGATTTGGTGTGTACGAAAGATGTTCGCCTTCGGTATTTAGTGTTCGGAGTGTTACATGGTGTACTTCACATTTATGACAATTACATTCAAATCAAGCAATTTCTGCACTCGAAAATTCACCATAATCAGCACTAATTTGAAATTGAAGGCGGCTTCCTAACTTTGACCTTACATATAATAATCAAGTATATTTGAACGGAACTGCGAAAATAATTCTAAACACGGATTTGACAAAATGAATGAACTTGCCCCGAATCAGTTTCTTGCAAATGGCGTACAGAAACAAAGACAACAACAAAACTAAAGTAGAAAACAGACAAACTGCCATATTACCTTTTTCAACGATTCTATTTCGTAATTTTTCCTTTTCAGTTTCTCTGCAGCCTTTTTCTTTTTGAGTTCTTCCTACAAATAGGAAAACAGCATACTAAAAGTTAAAAGCGAAATAGTCAAAGGCGATTTAAGTTTACATACTGAGTTCTTCGAATCGGATAACCTTGCTTAATGCATTTTAAAACATTTAAAGAGCTTTCTTAAAGTTAAGACCTCACTGACTTTATCAAATAAAAGGTCATTTCCAAGCACTACGCACGGTCAAGTTACCTTATAACGCGTATGCTCGTCTACATAGCAACTGTGCGTCGACTTCCTTGTGTCTCTTTCATCCATGTCCATCGCAAATTTCTGTCAGCAAGGAGAATACATGATGTCAGTTGGTCCAGTAACTAAATTGTGTTAAGCTTCGTTTACATGTCCTATGTTTTTTTCCAATAACCATTCAAACTGTGGTGAAGTGAATAGGGTCTGGCAACATAGTTTATTATTACTGTATCATAACTAATGTACTTGACCATTGGGCCCCGTTTTGGCAAACATAGGTAAAAGAGGGGTTGCTCAGTTGTTTTTCCGTCAATTCTGCGACCTAAAGCTTACCTTTCTTTCCTTTAAACAGACATTTAGCCTCCGCTGTTGATCCAAATCTTCCCTTAGTCTGCTCATGGACGCTCTCAAATAAGAAATTTCTTCTTGGCGATTTCGAACATCCATCTGCAAAATTTGAAATAAAAAGTAATTGCAGTAACTCAATTTTTCGAGGGGGGGAGTGGGGGGAGGGGGGTGAGGGGGGCAGGTGGAGGAAGGAAGGAAGGAAGGAATGAGAAGAGTTCAAAGCTCAACTGACAGAACCAAAATATGGCTAACTTGCGATTGTTTGGGTACACCATAACGGTCACAGCAGTGACAACATGTCAACTGCTCAACGTAGTAATCCGAAATCTAAACTTTGTAAATCTCTAACCACCTCAGAGAGAATTATCTCTCTGCATATCAGTTGTTGCAATCTTAATATGGAAATAGGCATTGTGGTCCTTTTTTTTAACAAGGGCTACAAACTGTATGTAATCAAGGGAGGACGTAACTTAGAATGAGGTTTTACCTTCAAGCCTGATGCCTCTGCCGTCTTCTGTCCAGCAACAGTCTCACTATCCCTACAAAGCAGAAATCTCTTCGTTAACAAGACAACATTGAGATGTACAGATCCCGCAACATAGATGATTTGACCTGACCATATCTTTATCTGGGGTATTCACGGTTTAGGATATTAATAGTATTAAACGAGGTTGGTGAGAAATTACCCGTTTGAAATTTAATTAAATGAGTTCCTACCGCGCGAAAAGTTTGTTGCCATTTTTTTTTCTCGAGAGCGAGACACGCAAAGGTATGTTTCACCTTTGTTGATGAACTCAGAGTTTAGAAAAGTTTTAAAGGCTATCGTTCAAAACCTCGAAGTGAATATTTATCTCACCTAAGATGGACAAGGTCGTCCTCGTATGACCCTAGCAACTGGATTTTTCGCTCCATTCGTTCGTACATTTGTTGGATTTTAGAAACCATCAACTCCACGGCCTAAAGAGAAATGGAATGACGTTAGATGTTGCTCAATGAAGTTGCCTGCAACTTTTTTCCTCCTACCCAATCCAACCTCTTTATCTTATACGGATTACAAAAGATTAATTAGGTTTGTATTGTGAGAATAGGACAATGCGTACGATCCAATTGAAAGGGGGAGGGGAGAGATAGTATGTACCGCAATTAAAGTAACGTACGGTGCACAAAATCAAGCACAAATCACAACACTGTCTGGTTACTTAATAAAAAAAATGTTCTTCAGTCAAGAATCACTTCATCTCATCGGTAAAAACTCAAAATACAATCTGTGAGTTCTGCTGTCGTGCTCCTTGTCACGTCCTCTCTTATGTTTTCTTGTATTTCAGTGTGAACACCTTTATGTTTTCACCCCCGGGAAAGCCTAATAATTGACACAATTGTTTGCTTCCTCTTTCTATTTGGCTTTGGTAGATTAAATAAAATGAATCAGCCCTGTCGTGTGGGCCTAACTTTTATCCTTTAATCCACCTGGCTGGTATACATTTGGATTGGCTGTAGATCAGAACATTAACTTAGGAATAATTTTAAGTCTTTGAACAATTGCCCGTAAGTCAGGAGACACAGTTTCAGTTGTTTCGTCAGAAGCTAACAGAGCACCTCAAGAGAAGTTGATAACTAGCCCTAGCTCACATAGGACCGCACAACAGATATCTTTCCCGTGAACACAGCGAGGCTTAGAACATAGGCCAGGGGCGAGATAGCAAAGACTCAATTGCAGTTTCTGGAATACCTTTGTCCTATCAAGTTCCAATCTCTCTCGTTCCTCCACGGGTAGATGAGCCATCGAGCGGCAGCCTGGGACCGGATCAATCTCCAGAAGGGCTCCGAGTGAACGAGCCAGCTTAAGGTACTAGGACAAGCAGTACGACATTAAGAACAGTAAGATATAACGAAATAAACTTGGAAGTATATCACCATAACAACAAAATTTCAAAACACATTCACTGCAACAAAAACAATAATAATAATAATATATATATAAAAAAAAACAAATATCTAAATAAATAAGCAAAGATAGTTGCATATGCAAAGTAAGTGTCAAGGCATTTGAGGAAGTTTACTATATCATCTACGTACAAAATAAGTAAAGTAACAAGCTTTCACCTGCTAATAAATCAACTAACCGTTTTCTCGCTGAGATCCAAGGCTTCCTTAGTTTGTCTATGAGCACCTTTCTCTCCGTCTGACTCAGCCAAGCTGGCTGAAGCTTGCTCACGACGAAGACGTAGCTATTGTGGAGAAATGAAAGATGTTTATTAAAAATCAATAATGATAAAGGAAGTGCATTCAACACTGCTAAACATGGTTAACGAATGTCCAATAGTTTGTTCGTTGACGTGTGCTGGGAGTAATAGCGACTTTGTCTTAACCTTTATTTATGTCCATCAAGTTAGTTGTGTTATAACGAGGGCCTTATAATCCACTGTCTAACTCGAAAAATTATTCCAAACCAGAACAGCAAAGAGGGTTTGCAATGTGGGTCTATCTCAGTAAAAAAATTAAACTTCGCTAAACAAAACTCCAACAGAAACTAAAAATTATACTATGTTCTGGTTTTAAAATGAAGCATATCGCAGCAAATTTAAGCGTCTGTAGCACGTACCTCAGCATGCATTTCACCCTCACTCTTGTGATAATCTTCCTCTTGAGAAGCCAGTTTCGCTCTAAGTTCACTGACTTCCTTCTTGAGAGCAACAATCTGCTGTAAAGCTTGCTCATGGCTTGGAACTTTGAAGAAACAACATTAGTTAGAAAATCTGTATTCAACATAAGGAGGAATGTTTATCTGTTTTTCTTTCATCGTGCTTTACATAGCTGCGTGGACCCACAGACCAATTGTCAAATAGACCATACTGAAACTCGATTAAAAGTCTTTCTCTCTAATCAATTAAAGGGCTTTGAAGGTATTCAACCGCGGATCAGCTTATAACTGATCTCTTAGCACGTGCTCTTATCAAATCCAGGTGATTGTCATTGTGTCGGTTCTGAAAAAGTTTATTTTCACAACACCTAAAAGCCTAATTATGTGTAACAAATTATGATTTTGTTTTTCATGCCACTTACGAGGTGGTTTCAGTTGTTCCAGTGTTTTTGTTCGATCTCTTAGGTCCGCTAGAGCCTCCTTTTGTCTAGTTATAATCAGATCATGTCGTTCTCCTCGGCACCGAAGACCTTGAGCGTGTAAATCACTTATCTTGAAATTCTACGACAAAGGACGCAAACTTAAGATCAGTCTAAATAACACCGGCGATGAGCTGTACTACATTATCCTCCTTCCTCACCCGCACAACAATAAAATTTCATGTATGAAATGCTTTTTCGGTCGTCACGTAAAAATCGTCTTAGATTTCGGAGAAATTCAACGGAGTGAAAGTCAAAGCGAAATCTTGAAATGAATGAAATATTTGCTTAGAAGCAACAAAGATTCGCTACACGTATCTAATGATGAAATTGCGTGACACGTTAAATCCACTGAAATCTGCTGACATAAACAATATAAACCATGACGTTGGGTCAACCATTGCCTGCGACGACAGACATAGAGTAAATAAACGGGGCTAATATAAATCGGTTTGCAAGCTTTTTTAAAGTAAACTTCTGCAAGGAGAGAAAAAAAAAAAGGACACCACACACTCACACACACATTAAAAAACCCATGCAACTCAGCACAAGAAGACCAAATGCAACGCAATAAATAGAGGGAGCGTTAGACAGTTTTGTTGTCACCTCTTTCTCCATCATTTGTAATTTCTTCTCTTGCTCTTCAATCTGTGTTCCCAGTTTTTCCTTGTACTGCACTAATTCAGTTCCTTGCTTGGTTGCATCTCGCTTTTGCTTTAATAACGCCTGTGAATACAATAACTGAGTTGAACAAGAGAAACACAGCAACAGTGACTAAAACTGTACAATATCTGATTGAACTACTCATAGCCGCAATTTCCCGATAACTGGTTTCCGGAATTTACATGGATTCACTGGATGAAACCTGGAGACACCGGGTTTTAGAAAATTTCCAATACAGCTGATACAAATGCTTTCAAATTGATAGCTGATTGCCGGTAACTAGAGAAATAATATATTCCACCTTTCAATCTGAACGGTGTCGATGGATCAGCGAAAGCTGGACAAAGGTGCGAGCCCTCGGACACTCACTAACCTTTTGTTGTTCAGTGAGTTTATCCTCTCTTGAATTGATCTCTTTTTGCTGCTCATCCACTAATGCAGACAGCTGAACTAATTGTTTTCTCTGTTCCTCCAGCTCGTTGTCCTGCTCTTTAATTCGTTCCTCGTATTGTTCAAGTTTTTGTTTTTGTTTGTCACTTAGTTCACCAGCCATGTCTGACATGCGTGCTGCAGCTCCTGCAAGATCCCGCCTCAGAGCCTGTACGACATCTCCTTGGCTCTCTGCTTCTTTCTTTGTTTGTGCTGCTTCACGTCTGGAAAATGATTACAAAACGATTTAGCCCCCAAACAAATCATAATTGAGTCCTCCGACATCCTAAGCATTACAGTCAAAATGTGTTGCGCACGCATGTTTGAGATTAACATTTTATCTACTTTCCTTAACCAAAAAAAATATCTGAATCATTTTACGAAAGGATGGAAGACATTTAAGAAGCAGGAGATGAACCTGTTACAATGAATATCACTCTGTTTGCAGAGTTTTATCAAGAGGACATAAATGGTTCGGGCCATTATACTCCGTTGGCATTTCAAAGAATTCCAATGCACAGAACAAACAACTGTCAGTCAACAAGACTTCAGCTGTTTTCCTTCTGTTTCCACACTCGAACATTATTCAGCTGAAGCAAGAGAGATGTCTGTTATTTAATTAAGACAGCCCCAAACTTCCAAAGGTTTTTCTTCCCCAGTTCTCCAAAAACTTCATATTAGTACTTTTAGAGTATAGATATCTAGATACCTAAGAAGTAAAACTAGTTGCTCTAATTTATAGACATCAGACTGAAGTGTGGCTTCTACACTAGTCTGGGGCACAGTCTCCGTCTCAACTGATCTTGTCTGTGGCTTTGGATCTTTTCTTGGAGACTGAGGTCTGGAGGAACTAGCTAGTTCTTTCTTTGGAGAGCTGGGTCGAGAGGCTTCTTTTCGTGGAGAAGATGGTCGGCTCTTACCTGTAATAAGGACAGGGAAACAAACTCATGAATTGTTTTAGTCACACTAGCCACACAGACTATATGAACAACTTGTGGGAATTTTATATACTCCTAACACAAAGTACACACTATACTCCCAATCCTAAGAATGTCCGTTTTTTTTCTTTTTCTAAAAAATTCAAATCACTTTTTCTCAGCTGAAAGAGCAGAACACAAAAGCAACAAAACTACTATCCTCCCTGCCTATCACTCCTCGCTCAATTCATTTAAAGCGTCCTCATGATCGGAACAAAGCTGTTCGAGAAAATAAAGTGCGTTGCACAATCAACCTTTTAGAATTTTTTTTTGACATTTCGATACTGTTTCTGTCGGTAATGTGTTCGTTTTTAATCCAAGATATTGAAATGCAAACAACATCAAACACTACCTATTTCACGTACCAAGACTGCAAACGTGAACACAGCATTGACAGTAATGAAAATAAAACAGCAGCAGGAATAACAATCATCAGGGTGAAAACACTGATCATTGAACACATTCACCAATAAGAAAAGTAGGCACCTTAATGAAAATCTCGATTAACAACTACCTTGTACAGCCTTTTCACACACCCCTGGCATTAATTGAAACCAATTTGATATTTTCATCTTTTCGAAGAGTTCAATTTAGGATCACCCGAGCTAATCTAGATTTCGTGTCTAAACAGCTCTCTAGCGCAATTACTACGAGGTGGATGACAAAAGCGCACAGTAAAACGTTTTTTTCTTGACTACATCAGAAAATGCAACGCATGGTTAATCAAGGAATGCTGACTATAATCTGAACAAACACTTACGATGATGCTTTTAGCTGGCATCCAACGAAAACAAACAAAACAGAGTCATCAAAAGTACGGAAAATTATTTGCAACTAAATTTAGCAGCGCTATTTTTAGCGCTTTGGTTGGTAATTTATCATGACTGACAGAGGTAAATACTTACCAGTCATTTGTTTGGCATACATTGCCTCTTGCTCCAGCTGTCGATTCTGCATCGTCAGACGCAACAATCTTTCTTCCATTGCCACGATTGTGACAGCGTGTTGCCGAGTTTGCTCCTACAAGCCAAAGTAAATTTCACTCGGTTGGAGTCAAACTTAAACAGGCCTCCTCTTTTTAAGTTAAGTCGTGGGAATAAAAAGACTTTTAAAACATGACAGTTTGCAAGCGGAAGCCAACTAGTGATGAGAAAAACCCAAATCAAATAACGTTGCATTGTAAAGCTCTTCTGTGATGCCGCAAACACAGATCAGTTCTGGGACTGATGGAAAGTCTATATTACCCAAGTTACCTTGAAAGAAGCAACTTCTTCTTCTTTGTAATTTGTTAATTCCTCCTTTTCACGTTCAACACGAGCCAGCTGTTCTTTGTACGCAGCGGTTTGCTCTTGAAGCTGGGATCGCAAATGATTCTGGTGGAAAAATCGCCATTGTTTTGAGTAGTTAAATCTAAACGGTTTTCAAATTTCACTTTTTCAATATACATGTTAACTCTTCAAGGGCATTTGAAAAGCACATCAAAAAGTCATCCTTGTCAAAGAGAGTTTTCACATGCTCTTCAACTGGTTCTTGATGCCTAATCTTGTGCTCACGCATGTGCTTAGGAGCCAGGAAGGCGATTTGCAACAGAAGACAACTTCACGTTCCATAGATTTCTGCAAGTGAAATCCATTATTTTCTTTGAACAGTTTTCAGAACCTTAACTTCGAGTGCGTGTGTGTGCTGTGAATGTTTAACTCTCGACAATTTGCTTCAACGTTCCATTATTCTCGAGAGGAGAAAAATTATCCAAAAAGTAGTTTCCGAAAGAGCATGGGCTAATCTACTCTCTAATACTCTACTCCTGTTTTCGTCCGTCTTATGCAAGTGAAGTGGGAGATTCTGAAGTTATGTTTCTACCTAAGATTACTGACACACCGTAAATTACCATGACCTGCTTTTGAGAAATACTACACAGAAGAGAAGTGGCAAATATTTCACTCAGTGCTCAGTATGAACACATCAGAGAACTTCATGGCATAGTCGTGAATGACGGCACTCACCTCTGTTTCTTTCGCTCTCTGTAATCCATCTTTCGCTTGTTCATATTGAGATTTGGTTGTTGCTAAGGCAACACGGTGATTTTCCAACTCTTTCTGACGATCATTCAGTAGCTGCAAGGAGACCGTGCCCAATTAAACAAAGGAAGGCGCCTTGCTACTAACCTCATGCAGGAAAGTATACTGTGTGCACTGTAAGCAAACTACGTACACCATAAACTCAGAAGTAAACAGAAAGAAATTGCCAAGACTGTTGTTGTTGACATTACTAAAAGCAAGGACAATTACAATTATCTAGCTTAAATTACAATTCATCTTTCGGAAATGTAAAATGCACCCAACTAGGCAGACGAATACGCCCTCAGTTTTCAGTATATTGCTCATAAACTCCCACACTTTCGTGCAGTAACACTCTCGCTGTGGAAACTTTCTAACCTGTTGTAACTGTGTAACGCTTCCATGCTGTGATTCCATGATTCTCCTTTCTGCATCTACTGCTGCTTGTATTCTTTCCCGTTCCTTTAGTTTGTATTCCTGGATCATTTCATGTTGTTTTTCGTCTTCTTCTGACCTGACCTCAGCCACTGCCCTTGATATATGTTTTTCTTCCTCTCTCTTCATGTCTTCTCGTAATTTAATCATCACTTCTTGGTGAGTTTCTTCCATTTCAGCAATTCTGAAATAGCATCACAAGAGTGGAAAAGTACATATGTTGTGGCCCAAGGTTTTTCCCAGTTTGAAATTCTTACTACCACCTTCATTTTAACTTTCTTTGTTTTAGATCATGATGAAGTATATGAGAACGAGTTATGAAGTAGGGCTAACGCTCAAAACGTCAGCTTTTAAACCCTTTACAGTGGCCAATTTACGTTATCAACTCAGTTGATAACACTAAATTACTCGGTTATACTCTCCCTCCCACGCAGCACCACAGTTTCTATAGAAACTTATCCCTTTATGAGGAATACAATATCAATATTGGTGGAAGCTTTTACATCAAAAATAAAATTAAACTAATTCACATACATTCATGACTAACCCTTACAATACGTGTTCAAAGATTAATATTTTTGTCGAAGACACCGGCATATCCAGATGAACCAACCTGAGTCTCAGTGCTCCACACGGGAATCGAACATAAGATGTTCCGGTTAATAGTTCAGATACTATCACTAAACTTAAAGACACTCTCTCAGCTTTATATCTATTTTTCCTCATCAATTAAGGGATAGATCGCCCTTACTTTCCCTTGAACTTTCGACATTCTTCCTTCTGATCTCGCAGTTGACGACACATATCTTCTACGCTAACAGAGGTTTCTGAAAAGAAATGAAACCCAAATGATAGGCACATTACATGCGAAACAAATATCAACTCTATATACTGTCAAGACGAATGTTCATTATATTCTACAAGTACAAAAAAATTGGCCAATACATCATCGTTTGAAATTCGTGAAAATAACTGTGTTTTCTTTGGTCGATGGTTCGGAGCGGTTTAAGTTTTTAGGCGCACAAGGACCCCAAAGCAATACTAAACATTATTGGTGCAAAAGTGCAATGTACTCACCAGAATCACAATCATCTGCTGCATTCTTCAAAGCTTCTTCCGCCTTCTGTTGCCAAGCACACTCATCGGACAGCATTTTACAAACGAAATCCTACCCACAGTAACAGCAACACAGTTAGAATTTCATTGAGACTTTGAGAGAACTCGGAGCCCTCCGTTGCAATTTTGGCAACACGCTTTCAAACAAATGTAAAATCGATATGTTGTGTTATATAACCTATCGCACCTTAATCCAAGAAAGAGAATCATGCGTTGTTAGTTCCTCGACTAAGGTAAGCTCTTCTTCCAGAGAATTACATGATCGACCGGATTTCCACAACCGTTTCTAAAGATGAGAAATGCAAAACATCGTCAAAACATTACTTACGTCACCAGAAACCACCCAGCTACAGGTTTAAGTCCATTTCTCTCTACCAACCCACCCCCCACCCGGTTCGGAGTGATCTGAATCATTTCAGAACCTCTTCTTCTCACAGGTTGCCACCCCTATATTCAACATATCTGACGCGGTACGTAGAGGTCAATGAACACTGAAGTCAAAATATCTTACCGCCATGCCGTCTAAATGTTTCCGCATTTCTCCGATAGAATCCTTGAAATCCTTATCTTGTGCTTCTTTCTAAAACAAGACATCATATATGTAATACGACTGATTCAAATTTCTTTGAAAATGCACTAATGATCCGTGACAAGCTCTGTTGCGATAAACAGATCAGCTTAGCACTCTAAGTATGGCAGGTTTTCTGAAATATACAGAGAATTGCCTTAGTATTTCGTTACGGATAAAACAAAAATAGTTTTGAAACTTCAGTCTTAAAGCGTAAAGCTTTACTAATCTGGGTGCATGTAGCAAGGGCATCCTCTACTTATCAGTAATGGTAAAAAATACTGAAACCGTAACAAGAGTAACAAACATTATTGTTACAGCAGCAATATTCTACTAGGAACGTCTCCATTATCAAAAATTCATTTAAATCAAGAAATGATTATTTCGTCCATTATACATTATATGGTAAATTGCCACGAAATAACCGGTCAGGACTTTACTATTTTTATTGGCCTCAGCTCGAGGCAGTTGGAAAGTTTTTCATTTTTTTTTCTTCCGGTTCATCAGTTTGATTGCTGGTTTAAGTTGTCTGGTTTTTGACTTAAGTAATAGGATCCAGTTTACCTCGCTTTCTGAGCTGGCATACTGCTTTATCTCTTCCACCAGGGAAAGTTTCTCTTGAGTCAACTGTCTAACGTGATCAAGTAGTTCATCATCGTCCAGTTCATGATCAACTGTTCTCGGAATTCCACCGCTAAATGTATACTCTATCAATTTCCGCCGGAAACGATCAAACTACGAGAGGAAACATAGCAATAGTATTGAGTCAAGATGTTCAGTAAAAAAAGTATTAAAAACACGCTAATAGAAAACCCAAGAAATATTTATCTTTCAAGTTGCAAGTACACCAAGTAGCATTTCAAACATTGCAATAATTGTGTTTCAAGAACAAAGAGTAGAGTCTATTGATGTGTTTGTAAACTCTCCAAACTTTCATGTTCAATCTTAAATGAAAATTGGTGCAAGGAATTAAGGTTTGATGATTTTAGATATATAAAATTCATATATTTGCACTGCGGTGGAGAGATGAAATTAAGAGATCCTCGCAGCTAAGAACACTACTGAAACGAGTAGTTGTAAATAGGACCTGAAAAAAATTCAGGCCCGTACGGGATTTGAACCCATGACCTCTGCGATACCGGTGCAGCGCTCTACCAATTGAGCTAACAACTGAGCCAACTGGGAGCTGGTCAATGAATTGGGTCCAAATAAACATCCAAGTGAATGATGATTTTAGATATATGAAACTGAATTAAGGTTTTGATCAACGTTAGCAACTTACTCTTTTCTCCAACTGATGAAAGTCAACCTTGAGCAGTTTTTCAGCTCTCTGTGCGTCAAGACACTGTGCTTTGGCGTGATCCAGCTCTTGTTGAATTGCTTTATCACTCTTAAGAAGAAGAGAAAGAAAGAAAGAAATAGAGCCATGAGAGTACAACTACAACCTCTGAAATGAAGTGTGATGACCCTGTTTGAATTTTATGTACTGCATTTTATCCTTTGATTTATTAAAGGATATGCTGATATCTGCTTTTTTTAAAATTAATTAATTGTCTTTAATTAATTGCATCTCTATTTAACCCTTTCACTCCCTGGTGAATTTATTTGATTCATTCTCCTACAATGTCGACACACACTGTCAAGCAGACAGCTAACGAGAGCAGACCAGTTAATTATACTAAGGATATTGTTCTGATATAACTTCAACAAGAGCACACTACCGGCTGTGTAACATGCTGTGTAACATGCTGTGTTAACAAATATGGTTCCCTAGTTCCATGGTTTCCATAGCAGCATACCTGTTGCCCATTGCTAAGGTGATCTCTCATTTTCTCTAATTCGTGCTCCAAATCAGCGATGGTTTTTATCCTCTCCTTTAACTGCTTCTCCGTACTTTGAAGTTTCTATAAGGAATAAATAATAAGAGTGTACAAAACACTTCAACTAACACAAGTCAAGAAACTGTTAGGAAACCATCTGGCAAACCTTGCTAAGAAAAGAAGTGAACATTTAAAGAAAATCAATCATTGTGCAATTGCAACTTTTCACGAAAATTCTACTTTTCCAGCACAGCTTCAGCTTGACAAGCTTTATATAGTATCCAACTTCCGATGAATAATTTCAAAGATCCATGCACGTCATGGTTGCAAGTTGTTAAACTGAGAGCAGGATAGAAAACCGTTATTAGTTAAAAATCATTCACCAATGTTCTTTGGTGTCTGTTGCCGTTGGTAGTTCAGAGTCGGAATTTCGGCGAAAAAATTCAAGTCTACCTAATGCTAAAGTTGTACACTGAAATAACCAGCACTAATAAATGCTGGCGGACAGCAGACTCGAGAGGCAGAAATGCGATTGTACTTTTGAAATAAATGTTCTTTATGGTCTACCTAAGCTCTTAGCCTACCCGAGGTATTCCGAAGAGCTCTTTCAGGAGAAGCAAGCTTCACTTAAAGCCCCCTCATACGTACGAATGATAAAATGTTGGGGACAAATGTAGAAAGCAATTTACATACTTTTCAAGTATTTAATTTTGACAGAGACCTTGGACTTAATGGGTATGAACAAAACTTGTCAAGATGTCATTTTAGAGCGAACCCGGTTACTGAGTGTCCAAAACCGGCGTGGCAACGACCTTCACTAAAACAATGTTTGATTAACGTAAGTGGGACGAATCGCCATTGATATTCTTCATCAACAGAAACCAAAATAAGGGCGGTACTGCATAACAAGAAACTAAGGGAAACAAAACTATTTGAGTATGTTGACATTCCTAAATGATCATTTGCCACAGTCTGTTCTTACAAAAACAGAATATTAACACAAAAGTACAAAGAACAATCCATTACATATTGTAAACAACCGGCAGATTTTACTAGAAGTTCAACACCATTTTCTATTCTGTTCTCACGTAACATTTGAGAGCAAGTCAGAGATAAGTGAAAAAAAAGCGGAAATAAACAAGAAAAAAAAAGTAAAAATGGAAAAAAGAAATTGCAAAATTCTCGGCGTTTCTTCTATGGATTGGGGATGGCAAAAAGCTGTTAGAAGTAATCGATCGGCCAAACTTGGTCCTTGGTTTGTACTGGATTCTTACCGCTTTATTAGCATGAAGCTCCTGCTGTAGTTTCTGCGCCTCCTTTTCCACATCCTTAGCAGCCTTCTGTCGCGCCAGCTGAAAAATATGAGAAATTTTCAGTAGAATTGCTTAGAGATACATGGATCGTGCTGGTTAAACATATCACAGCAACAGCAAGCCAATCGATGCCATGAAAACAGGAAATCCATAACAATGTACGTCTGCCTTCCTGCGTAGGATTCCGCGCGTTCACACAAGTAATTTCCGAAAGATGTAGGCGATCCTCGCAGCTATGAACACTACTGAACTAATAGTTGAAATAAGACCTGAAAAAAATTTAGGCCCGTACGGGATTTGAACCCATGACCTCTGCGATACCGGTGCAGCGCTCTACCAATTGAGCTAACAAGCCAACTGGTAGCTAGTTATTATGTTGGATCCAAATAAACCTTCCAAGTGGTGAATAATGACTGGAAATATATAAAAATCATATATGTGCACTGCGGTGAAGAAACAGATATAGGCAATCCTCGCAGCTATGAACACTACTGAACTAGTAGTTGAAATAAGACCTGAAAAAAATTCAGGCTCGTACGGTATTTGAACCCATGACCTCCGCGATACCGGTGCAGTGCTTTACCAACTAAGCTAACAAGCCAACTAGGAGCTGGTCATTATGTTGGATCCAACATTGGATTCTTCACCGCAGTGCACATATATGATTTTCATATATTTCCAGAGGTCAAGGGTTCAAATCCCGTACGGGCCTGAATTTTTTTCAGGTCTTATTTCAACTACTAGTTCAGTAGTGTTCATAGCTGCGAGAATCGCCTATATCTGTTTGTTCACCGCAGTGCACATACATGATTTTCATATATTTCCAGTCATTATAATTTCCGACTGTTAAGTACCTTGTCTATTGACAATAGTAGAGAGAAAATAAAAGGATGCACACTTAAAATGTATGATGCAGAAACTACTCAAGCAAGGGGACTATTTTAACACACAAGCTACTCCTCACAGAGTGAGAGTTTTTTAGTCAATATAAGGAAATAACCCGTGCCCCCAGAGCCCCCAGAGCCCCCAGAGCCCC